CTTCCTTAACCTGTTTCTGTCTGCCTTGAAAATATGGGTCCAGGATCAAAAGAGCGCCTTTGGTGAAGAACTACTGTTGGCCTACATGATGCACAGCTGCAATGTAATATGCAGTTTGTCTCAAACGTTCTCATCTAAAAGTGGTGCCACCTGTCAAGTGAGCAGTGAAAAACAGCCTTTAGAAGCATATGAATCTATACTTCCAGATTTTTAAAAAATAAGATGCAATTCTGTGATGACTCCAAACTGATCTAATGGCAAACTTGTGTGAGGGTGCAAGTGTATGGCTGTGTGCATAAACGTGGAAGGGGGTGCTGTTGGTGGCAGCTACAAAACTTGGGTCTTTGCCGTATACACTAATTATGAGTGGATGTAATGTATGGAGGAAAGACCCAAGGGACCATATAAGAGGGAAGTCTAAGCATGTGCTGATCAAGGCTCACATTAACCCCCTTTCTCAGTTCTGACTGTATAGCATATACTGCACATATGTTCAGCTTTAGTGCAAAACTGCAATGGCTAGAAAAATGGCCCTTTTCAAAGAAGGTTAAATAAAAGGCTTGTGGTTATTCATTTGCTGCTAGTTAGAAATAAAGATCTCCAGATTTAATGTTATCAGGTCATGAAGATTTCTATGCATTCCGTCCATACGGTACTTCATTTTGCTAATGAGGTATAAAGAAGGATCATTAACTCTCTTCTTTAAACTAGTTCACCTCTTCACCTTATGCCCCTAATATTGTTCCTTCCATTTCCTTCATGGTTTTAACTTTTAAAAGTATAAGGCTTGTGTGTGTGTTTGCAGAAGCCTGTTCAAACAGTGGAATACAAATCTAATCAACAAATGCAACTAACCTCAGTGCCCAGTTTTCTCTTGCTTTTCAAATCTGAACTGCTGAGTGACTTTTCTCTTGCTTTAGAGAAAGTAAGGCAAATATTTCCCCATCAGCAATCATGCACTTTCACCCACAGACCTTCAAATAACCTTCCCCCAATCCTTAAGTCCGTCCCCATACTGCCCCTCCATGCCAAGTAAGGATCCAGGCCTACAACAGGAACCACAGTGAAGGCAGACAGTTTCCCAGGTCATTTGCGCCTCCGCAAGCTTGGCTCAGAACCCCTTTACTTCCCCTCGTCGCTCAGTTACTCAATCATCTTTCCAACATTCCAAGCTTTTAAACTGAGCTCCCCGTGCCACTTAATCCAAGCTGCCGTTCTTGGTCTCTGGCTGACTGCCAGCTGTTGACTGACCAGCTGTCTGTAATAATTAACAACTCCAGTTGGCAGAATTAGACACCCTTTTGCCAGCCAACAAAAACATCTGGGGATGTATTTCCCCCTCCCCCATGGGAATGGTTTTGATGGGAAGAGTGGGGGAGGAGTACATTTTTTTACTCACCCCCTCTAGGAGCCACCTTGAACTGTGGCACCTATACCCATCCTCTGGCACATAACTCAAGAGGGCATCCTGTTACCAGGATAAGTCCTGTGACTGGCAACTGGTCCAATTTTCGTAACAGCAGGTGTGAGTTAAAAGTGAAAACCTCTTGATTGAGGAGCAGTTCACTTATGCATATCAATAAGCTTGCTAGAATAGATTTGGAAATCAGTCTGTTTCAATAGCAACAAAAGTATATGTTGTCCTTCCTTTAAAATAAAGTGTTCTGGGCAATGCACAACACTATCAAGAAAATTCAACAATAGAGCACCACAATCAGTTAACCAGGCAAGCTAATTTCAAGGCGAACCATCTCTTTGATGAAAACTTGCAGGCTGCAGTGGCAACAATGAGGAATTTCCAGTGGGCAAACGGGGACACAATTGCCCAGCTGGAATGAGGACCTCACTGCGCTGCCTCCGGTCTGTTCAACTAACATACATGCTGTGACTGCTTAGAAATGGTGAGGGGAAGACGAAGAATGAGGCAGCCCAAGGACTGCTCTCTAGAAGAGGGGTGGTGGCTGGCCCTGTTGCTCTCTTAAGGTGTTGCTCTACTACGTCCAGCACCTGTTGGGCGAAGCTCAGATGCATGAGTGGCAAGAGTCAGGGCAAACGTATAAGCCAGAAATCTAGAGACAGCTATCTTTAAAAGTTCTGTGAACTGTACTTAGGAAAATCTTCCTGCCCTATATTGCACCCATATTAAAAGGATTGAATGAATAGTGCAGCCAGAGAGGGGAAAGGGGGAAAAGAGAGAGATAGAGTTATATATGAAAACAAATGGAGAGCAAGACAAAGGGAAGCTTCTCCTTGACAGACAAGTAGCTGGCAGACCAAGAGATGCTGTCATTTAAAACTGCGTCCAGAGCTATGCATTATGTAAACATGCTCTATGAAACTCTTTGTGTGTGTGGAGAAAGTGTGGAAAAGGTCAGATGTCAGAGGGTTTCCTTGGCAAATTCAGCAGCAGTTCCTAACTAACATTGTCCAGTTGCCCTCCTGCCTCAGACCACTTCCCATCCTTTTCAGTGAAATTTCCCCCACCCCCAAAGATACAGATGATCAGCATGTATTTTCATGAAACTGGCTGATGTGTGGACTTCCATTTTCCCTATGAGTCAGACTGAGTCAGTGCTTCTTGGGACTCTATGAGTATACAGAAAAAGAATCCAGCTGGCATAATATTATGTACTAAATGGTCATGTATGTATGTATTTATGTTGTAAAATCTCTAGACCTCCTTCATCTTTACACACTCCAGTGCGGTGTAGCATTTTATAATGAAAGCAGTATATAAAGGGATATGTCATCATTCATCATATAAATTAAAGCCAAGAAGCAACCAATCCATAACATTCCAAAAAGAGGCAATAAAAATAAATTAAAATGCCTGAGTAAATAAAAATGCCTTGACCCTGCATTGAAAAGATGGCAGTGTTGCCAGCAGTTAGTCAAGAACAGTTAGTGAGGGCATTTCAGAATTGGGGTACCACCACAAAAAAGACCCTGTTTTTTGTACACACATAATATATTCAACAACTGATGGTATTTGAAGGGAAGAATCAACTGGTGAGCTTTTCACACAGGCAAGAAGGCATGGGAAGAGGTGCTCTGTCAACTATTAGTGTCCCAAATAAGGTTTTAAAAGTAAGTATCAGTACCTTGAATTTTCTTTAAGACAAATGCATTGCCTTCTTGACCTTGTGGTTGGCCTGCCAGAGTCCCATGGCCAGTAAAAAAAAGTAAGTTTTTTCCCCATTGTAAACTTGCCTACACTTGTTTCTGGGCGGCTAATTTTTTTAATTAAGGGAAGGCTTTTCCTTTTTATGTAAGTTTTTTTCCTACACAAATAATAAATACTTTGTGACAAACATGGTCCTTCCCTCCAAAACTTCCAACTAAAAATCCAAGCCTCTCCCTAAACTAAGGACAGGCACATGGCAGATCTCCAGGTGAACTTCAACTCCCCAAAGCCCTTCCCAGTATAGCCTGTAAGCAGGAAAGGTGGGGACTGAAGCCCAAGTATCTGGAGGCTTACTTTCTGCCCAGCTGTGCCCCAGGTAACAGATCAGTGGGCCAAGTCCAACATTTAGAATGTTTGATTGAACTGCTTGTTATCTGTAGGTCACCTCTGGACTTTGTTTATTTCCTGGCTGGCACAGTGTAATCTGGATAGCTTGAGTTAATATTTTGTGAAATGGAAAAAGACAGCTAATGAGAAGGAGAAGGGAGAGAAAGAGGGAACTCAAGAGACTGTGTATCTAAATAGCAGTGCAAGTTCTGAATGCTTTTTGTTCTTCTGCAAATTCACACCTCAAAATCCCTTTGCATTTTCACCCTTTGCTGCACCCTTAAAGCTTTTCCCAGAGATGGGATGGGGTGTGGGATGAGACAGTTGCATTCTGGACATGATGCTGTTGCAGAGGTACAAGGCATAGACAGAATGTGTAAGTCTTGCTCCTGTACAGCAAGGTCATCCTGAAGCAATTCAGAATCAACATAACATAGATGCAAGTGAATGCATGAAAAATGTGGTTAGCAGACTCAGTGTTCTTTGGATACCTTCCAACCCTAGGATGCATCATGCCTGCAACGGCCCAATCCTGCGTTGCATCCATAGTGCTGACATAATACTGAGGTATCTAAGTGTAAATTTCATATTGATTTTTAAAACCACACACTTGTACACCCCAGAAAGCTGAGTGTCTTCAAGCATTTGCGTACAGAGCAGCAGTGACATGTCCAAGTATGTCATCTGGCTAAGCTACAGTCAGAGAGAACAAGCCCATCTTCATTTCAGTTCCATTTAAGAAGATATGGGGGAAAGGGGTAAATCCAAAGACAGAAACTACATCTGCAAGAGGAGAACAATGGAATGAGGTGCTAAAGGAACATTTCTTGAGTGAATGGAACTTTCTGTGTGCAAGAGGGCAATGAGTGTGGATCAGCGTGCATATTGTGTGGATGGAACCTGAAAGCCAAGGGTCAGCAGCAGGGCCACCATATTAAGCAAGACTATCTCTTTTAGCCAAGCCTGTGTGGTTGAAACAAGTGGCCTGCTCCAGATTTCTAAATGCTACCTGCATTTTCCATACTGGGAATACTAAAGCATTGTGAGTGCTAGCCGTAATCTGCTTCTCAGACTGCCAGGCATAAAGATAGGGCTGTTCCAAAGTTACTTTGGCTAAATATGTCTGCATTAGGGACTTGAAAGGCTCAGGTTCTAGTCCCCATTCAGCCATAAAACTCACCAGGTGGCTTTGGGACAGTCACTGAACCTCAGTTTAGGTTACCCAGTAGGGTTGTTATGTGGATACAATGGAGACCCTGCCTTGCAATCCCTGGTGGAAAGAGGGGGATACAGATGCAACAAATAAATAAAAGTCAACTTTGTTGTTCTAGTCAGGGCCACCACCACCTCGCACGCACACACAATGTCTCTTACCCAAGTGAAACAAGAGGGCTTGATTAGATTTCTTGTCTTCAGAGAAAATAACAGAGTTCCCAGATTCTGTTGCAAACTAGAAGTGGAGAAAGGGCTATTTAGCATTAGCACTGACCTGTGAGCAAAAGGCATTTTTGTGGATTTTCTTGTAAATAAGAGCTGGGCAGATAAAACAGATGAGGCTTCCCATGGTTGCCCCTGTTAGGCCGAGGATGGTCTCCACTGAGAGAGAAGAGGAAGAACAAGTGCACTGTGAGAAACTGTCCTAGCTGAGACAAGAGATCACATACGAATTAACTGCATCTTTAATTCAGCAATTCAACTGGAGCCTGGAGGCACATGCTGAAAGGCACTTAAGCATGAATTAGATACCCCTTAACCACTTACAATCAGGACTGGGAAGAATGTGCTCCCCCTGTGCTTCCACATCCTAGGCCTATGGCTGAAGTGCAGTGTGTAGTTCGCCTTTGTTGATTGTGATACCACAAGCGCAAGATCACACAAATGTACTGTGACCAACTAACACTCCTGGGGCCATACTCACCCCTACCAAAATGGATTGGGATCCCTCCTTCATCTATAAGTATACATTAAAGAGCATACAATGCACATGCTTAACAATCCTGACAATGTGAATGGTGGGATGGCCACGTCTGTTTAGAGGGAGACCTAACTGGTGATTCTGACTATGCCTGCTGAATATGGATCTGGATTTCTTATTTCTTATTGAAGTATGAGACTTCATCCTTTACACTGGAGTTCTGAATTCCTGCAGTGGCCGTCTGCAAGCAGAAAGGCTGCAAGGTCAGTCATTGTAACTATATATCTTATGCATACAAGAACTTGGCAATATGTTCCGCCAAGTGGCTGCTCATACTAGGAAATCTGCCACCCCCATTGCTTCTTCCCCTCTCCCAGCGCTGCTGCCCTACAGAACGGGTAGTGGGTGCAGCAACTGCAGTGGTAGCCTTCAATTAGGCAACCAGAGTCTCTTTGTTCATCTTGATGGGCTCCTTGCACACATCCCTCGGTAGCTTAGCCCTCCTGCTTCAGCCACTGCAACTCATGCAATGGCAGCATCCATGATGATTTACCAAGCAGCTGTGGGATGAACAGAGAGTATCTCAGCTTTCACAGGCCAGCTAAATGGGTTTGCGCGCTTTCCTGGCCATGTGGGCAGCTATTTGGAAATTGCAGCTTCCAGGGTCTTGGCCCTCACTTGATCAGCCCTATGTTTCCAGGCCTGTTTTGTGAAGGTCTGGCAATGTGGGCACCATTCAATGATGCGTGCCTTGCCCAAACAGAAAAGGCAGAGGGCACATCCATCCACAGGGGGAGTTTCTAAAGGGTGCCTTTGATGGGAAGGGCAGAGAGCAGAGAATGGACAAAGAGCTGGTAAAAGGATGCAGAAGATCAAAGAGGAAGCAGATAGAGACACTGTGTGTGCGTATGTGCACATGCATGCATGTGTGCATGTCAAACACACACGCAGACAGACAGAGGCTTTTACAAGTAAAGAGTGAAAATGAAGTTCATGGAGAGGGGGATAAAAGGTAGGCTGAGCAGAGAGCAAGGTGGAGCAAGTGGTAGAGAGGAAAAAGGTACCAAATGCTGGAAAAAATATTCGGGTTGAGGAGAGAAGTGTGTTCTTATCTAGGCAAGGAGGTGGTCGAAAAGGTACTGAGAAAATGGGTGGCAGGCCTTCTCACAGATGCAGGGAACAGGAAATTTAATTTCCCAATTTAATGCTCAGCTGTAGAATCTTCCCAGCAGCAGGATCTGTGCAGGCACACAGCCCGTATGTGTGATGCATGGAGATCGCGAAGAAGAAGAGCACAGAAGCAAAATTGTAGCATTCAGCCACGTGAAATGGTGAAATGAATAGAATAAACGGATGATCAGAACTATGATCATTCTGAAATGGATACACATCTTTAAATGCAAAAGTGTAAAAAATTGCACATACATATTTGAACTTATTATAGCACATGGCAATACACAACAACTGAAACCATCAGCTCAAGAGATGCATTGTAATGCATCTTTAAGACAGCTGGAAATATTTGCAAAATCCACAATGAGGTACACAATCTTATGCACATTTACTCAGAATTAAATCCCACTGTCATCACAGAAAGCACATTTAGGATTGTAGCCCAACTCTAGCAGATGACATGGGAGTGGGGAACAGTACATGTCAGGAGAGCTGCAATGTGGAAATGTGGCCAGACCTCTGCACAGGTGTTTTCCTTTTTGCTCTACTGTGCTGTAACCAAGAACACCTCTCTGACTGTTCTGCCCAAGCACCGAGCAAAGGGAGTGAAGTCCTGCACAGAGGCATTTTCTGTGACCGTGCCACTATTGCAGAGCTCCAGCCCCTCAGAGACTAAGTATCTCCTCTCAATGTTGAGAAACTTTTCTATTTTGCCTGGGTTTCAACTAGAATTAAACTAATACAATGTGGACATTCATGTGCACAAGTCAGAATAATTGTGTAGACACAGAGGACAAGTTTAAATCTTAGCATGTAACTGTAGGTCCAATAAGAGGACAGCTAACCTGCAAACCTACCATAAGCACTTAAGACTAGGGATAAGGACTGTGAAAATACAACTAAATGAAAACAAAATCTCACTTACCATTTGGGATCATGATGCCTCCGACCATGGTTCCAAACACCACCGCCAGTGTCAGGGCTTTAAATCGGAGAGGTGGCATATAACCTCCTGCAGCAAAGGTCCCATCTTTTTGCTATTTAAGAAGAAAATACTAGCACAACAATTAATTCTCTTAACAGAATTTACCACCTCTGGGGACTCATCTCTAGTTAGCCAGTGTGGCGTGGTGGTTGGACTGTGGGACTGGGGACCAGGGAGATCTGGGCTCTAGTCCCTCTCAGCTATGAGGCTCACTGAGTGGCTTTGGGCCAGTCACTTTACTCTCAGTCTAACCTGCCTCACAGGTCTGTCATGGTGAGGACAATATGGAACTATGTGAGCCATCCTGCATTTCTTACAAGAGGAAAAAAGGTGGGATGTCAATGCGATGCAATAAATAACAACATTGGTCATTTTTTTAGAACCTTTATGCTACAGTCTCCTCTCAACCTGCCAATGATTTCAGAACTGTGTACCTATAAGTTTCTAAAATTAACCATGAGTATGGCTTGCTGTACCTAGCCTTAATAAATCACAAACACTTATTAAGATTGCCACTATTGGGCAGCATAATATTTAGATTACAAATTACACCTTTTCAATCTTTTGAATTTGTTTGTCCTCACTTGTCCTAGTTCTCACAGCTGCCTTAAAATGTCTTTTAAAAATGAGCTGCAAATGAGTTCTGTTCCAAAATAGTGGAGTGCAGATCTTAGCATTAATATTTCAAACTAACCTAGAGAAGAATTCCTGCAGACAAGATCCACCTGCAGACAAGATTCAACATGCTAAAAATAATTCTGCTTGGCTAAATAGGTCGACCAAAAGATCAACAATACTGCGCAACCTTTTGAAAACGCCAGATCTCTTAATCGGTCAAGATGCTCCAAAAAGCAGGTGGGACTGGTGAGACGGGAGGAGGGAAGAAAAAATCTTGAATTAATGTTGAAGTTACAGTGCCTGTGGAGAGGAGGAGGACTCACAGAGGCACTTCCTCCTTCCTCCCAAGACCTGTAACATCTTGCCCGATGAAGAGGTCTGAAGATCTTGAAAACTCGCACATGTTAATGCTCTTTTGACTGGCTTTATACAGGTATTACACAATAAAACAGACAGCTGAATTTTGCTTATTGATGATGCAGCTACTTTTGCTTTTAGTCCATTTGGCTACTGGCACAAGGTGTCAGTTTCAAACCTTCCCACAGTCCTCACAGATAATGCATGTGGAAGAAGGGGAGCAGGCATCTGAATCTGAGTGGGACAAGAGTTAGAAATTTACCACAGGCTGAGTGACCTTCAGGACAGTGGTTGTACCATTGGGAGAAAAATGGCAAGTGAGGGGGAAGGAGGAAATGGTCACTTGCTTCCCCCAAGGACTGGTCAAGTTGTGGTAACTGCTCTGATACCTCCTTGCTTCTCAACCACGGAAAGATCAGGAACTTGGAGGCCAAAGCCTCCTAATGCCCAGTCACCCTGAAATACACACAGGCTGGTCTGAGGCTGCTGGTTCCACAGGCACGAATTATGCCCAGGCAGGCATGACTGGCAAACATCATCATTTCTTTCCTAATAATATGGGAAATTGCTTCATGCTTTTACCAGAAATGCCGTACAAGTGCAACGTTTTGTTGCTTATATAAGGCTAATTAAGCAAGTCACACAGCAAGTTCAACTCCATACTATGCAGTATGTTCTGGACTGCTCTCAGAGCGACTTTTGTGACAAAGGAATCATGAGGCATCAGCCCAACACCCCCCCCCCCCCGAATATGACTGCTGTCTCGAAGATGGAACATGAGAAATTTTTGCTCATTTCTTTCACACAAAGGTACAAAGTGTGGAGGGAAAGCAGAGAAAAGTAAAATGCAGTGCAAGCACAACCCCAGTTTAAGGAAGAATGTCTGGAAAAACCTAAAAATGTAATAGTTCAGACAGAGGCAGGCAACTGTACCAAACCAGAAGGAAGTTACCTGCTGTTCAAACAGAAGAGTATTCAGTGCCTGTCGGCATGGCAGAATCATCATCGGAAATCCAAATGCTACAGACATCATAAACCCCACACGTATCATCTCAGTCACCAGATTGGAAGGAAAGTTCATGAGTACATTCCCCTCAATGGCTTCAATGTAGCTCACATAACCAAAGAACCCCACCTGTTCAAATAGGAAAGGAAAATGACTTGCTGCGGCTGCAAGCTTGGCTCACCATGAATAATAGAATCCTGGTCTTCCACTTGGCTTGCCCTCAAGACAATGGGAAACCAGCTCTTCTCCCTATCATTTACTTATTTAATTTCAAAAATTACAAGCCACAATAGAAATACTAGATAATAAAGACATAATAGAAAATCTTTGACATACAAAATTCTGAACAATTTAAAAACTATTTAAAAATAGCTGAGGCACTTACAGTAACATACTGGAATCAGCAAGACAATTGCTGTTAATTCCCCATCATATGCCATCAAATACAATACAGCAAAAGATAATCCTTGCCTGGTGCTAAAAAGATGACTGCTGGCACCAGGTACACTTCCGGGGGGGGGGGGGGGGGGCACTGCAAAGACCCTCTCACTGGTGGCCACCATTTAAGTCCCCCTTGGAAGAGGCACTCGCAGGAAGGTGCTGACTGTAGGGTCCACATATATTCAGGTTAGAAGTGATATTCTATCAGGTGTTGCTATTTCGAACTATAAAAGGCTCAGGATAAGGTCAAAACCATCAACTTAAATCAGATTCTGAAGCATATAGACAGCCAATGCAAGCAGGCCAGAACTGGTGCTATACATTCAGATCTTCTGGCCCCTGTTACTAATCCGTCTGCTGCATTTTGCCTAAACTGCAGCTTCTGAACAGTCATCAAGAGCAGTTCTACACTGCAGTAATCTAACTTGGAGGTTACCAGAATGTAGATTCCTGAAGCCGTGTTATCTCTGTCTGGAAAAGGGAGCAGCTGGGCCACCAGCCAAAGCTGGTAGAAACCACTCCATGCCACTGAGGTTACCTGAGCCTCAAATGACAGATAGCTCCCTAGAACCCTCAAGTTACAAACCTGCTCTTTTGGGGAGAGAGTAATTCTGTACAGAACAGAATAAACACTATCTATCTGGCCAGAAGAACCACCCACTAAGTCTTGTGTGGACTGAGCTTCAGTTTATTAGTCCACATCTAGCCCACTGCTGTAACACTAATCCACAGCCTCACCTGACAAAGGTGAAACGGAGAAGCATAGTTGCATCTCATTGGTATACTGATGCCAGTGCACTCCAAAATTCCGGATGACCCCACCCAACAGTTTCATGTAGCTGTTAAACAGAACGGGGGATAAAACTGACCCCGAGGAGCCTCATGCTGGAAAATGCATGGCGCCAAGCAATATTCCCCAAGCACCTTTAATTAACAGCATTCCTCTTGTTCCTTCCTCTACAAAACCTCTTCTACATAAATTAGTCCTGGTCCTTTAAATGCTGCCTCATAAAGAAACCATCTGGAATCTCACATACTTTTTGCCAGATTTCCATGTTCATTTCCAAATTCCAGTGCATCTTCTCAGAGATTAGGTGACCAGAGCAGCATATAATATTTAAAGAACACATGCATAATGGCTGCATGATAAGAATAAAACAAAGCTCTGCTTTGATAAAAAGAAGTGGGATGACATTAAGTCATTTCCAGCATATAGCTATGAAAAAATAAAAATGTTGCAAGAACTTTACATTTTCTCCAAATAAAGTAGGCTCTTAAAAGCCACAATCATACTTTTATCATTACGGAGGGGGCGGGGGAGGTAATGGACTTTGGTTGCTCCAAGTTTGGCCATGGAATGGAAGAAAGCAACCAAACCCCATTCCCTAAATAAGGGAGTACTTGTAATTCAGTCTCAAAGTAGGAACTTGCCCTAACAGGTCATGAAATTCTCTACATTTAATTGGCTTTGCACACTGGAGTGTTATCTGATGTGACATACTTCAGGTCTTCCTGGTTCCCAAAAAGCTCACCAGAAAGTATTTCAGCCCACTCCACAAAGATTTCCTGTATAGGAGTGCTACAGTAGGATTCTTTGCTTTGTCCCAGCTATAGCCAAGGATGTGTATTAATAGCCAGTTGCACTGATGGAAGAAGTTACTACAGCTCAGAGATATAGTAAATACCGAATGTTGCCGAAAAAGCTAAAGCAGAGTAGGGGCATGTGCTCCGACAGATGATGTTGGACGGCAACTTCCATCATTTCTCACCACTGGTTATGCTGACTTGGTCTGATGGGAACTACAAGTCCAACAAGATCTGGAAGACCACACATAGCCCATCACAGCGCTAAAGCCCAGCCAGCTTTCTGTTTCAGAAAGGCAAGTGGGAGGACCACTTCACTATTCTGTCTTCGTGCCCCTTCAGAGGCACCTATTTGAATTAAATCAGAAACAGGGAGGGTTTACAATGTCCAATCCCTGCTCTCTTGATACAGATGAAGCAAGTCCTGCTGTGTGATCGGTGCCAGCATTGTTACTCCTTGTACAAGCTCTGCTGGCAGTACAGGCTGTTACTCTATCTAGCTAATTGTTCCGTTAGAATGTGGGGAAATCATGTGCACACTCCAGGCTTGTGCCCTGTGGAGTGGGATATATTGCTTACAAATCCTGGGCTCTGGAATGTCCCCAGAGAGCATCTATAGCACGTGGCAGAAAATGTCATTGCTTCTCATAGTTGCCTCTCCACAACTCCAAAACCTACCCAGAGCAGTATTTTCACATGAAACCGCTGTGTGTGTGTGTGTGTGTGTGTGTGTGTGGGGGTTATCTGAAGGTATGAGCTGAGGTGTCAGCAATGAGCAGATGACACTCAGGTCTAATCCTCTTTTTCATCAAATCCAGGTGAGGCAGTGGTGGCTTTGAAGCAGTATCTGAGCAGGGCATTGAACTGGATGAGGGCCAACACACTAAGGCTCAATCCAGATCAGTCAGAGGTACTGTTAGTTGGTGGTTCATCTGCCCTGTTGGGTGAAACCCAACCTGTTCTGGTTGGGATTGCACTCCCCCTAAAGGACAAGGTGCATAGTTTAGGGGTGGTCCTGGACCCAGAGTTATCACTCAAGTCATAGGTGGATGCTTTTATCTGCTTAAACTGATATATCAATTGCAACCTATCTGGACAGAGAGAGTCTAGCTACTCTCCATGCCCTGGTAATCTCTTGTCTGGATCACTGTAATGTGCTGTATGTGGGGCTGCATTTGAAAACAGTCCAGAAACTTCAACTGATCCAAAACAGGGCATCAAGATTGTTAATGGGGACTGGCTCACGGGAACACATTTATACCAGTCCTCTTCCAGTTACATGGCTGTCAGTTGAAGTCCAGGCCAGATTCAAAGTGCTAGTACTAACATTCAAAGCCCTAAATAGTTTGGGGCCAGGTTATCTGAAGGATCACCTCCTCCCATATATACCTGTATGGAACCTGAGGTCATCATCAGGTAACTTTCTCCAGGATTAGGGTTCGGGAGCCCCTTCCAAAGGAAGTAAGGTAAGTGGCTACCAGGAGGACCTTTTTGGTTGTGGAAACTTCATTTTGAAATGAGCTCCCCAAAGAGGTGCACCTGGAGCCTACTTTGAAGTATTTTCAGTACCGAGTGAAGACCTTTTTATTTTCCCAGCATTTTAACCATCTAACTTTAAAACTTTTTTTTTCATATATTCCATTTTATTTCTCTACCATTGCTGTGCTTCTGTGCTGAATAATAGCAATCGCAATTACGGTTCTGTTCTTTTAATTTAATTGTTCTGTGTGTCTCTTGTTAACTTTTGTTAACCAGTCAGAGAACCTCAGCTGTTGGTCAGTATATTAAATAAATAAAAAAGGGCAATTTTAAGATTCTTACTGTAATGTAAAAGGCAGTGACCACATGCAGCGACGAGGCAAATATGGAACTCATGATTTTAACAGATGGTTCATCCAGGCTATCATAGGTTGGCAAGACCTGGCTGCAGAAAAAGCAGATAAATGTTAAAGCACGTCAGGAACATTTTCTCAAGAAGAGAAATACTGAAGCCCGTTCTTCCTTGCCAGCAGAACGTAACTGCAGAAATGATCCCCACATGGAATCCAGGTCCTTGTCAGTCTACAGCAGTTTATGCCACTTGTGCCAAGAGATTTCAGAACACTCATGAGTTTAAGTGTTGCACAAATATGCCTGCTCCTCTCCTCCCTACCACTGCTGCGTGTGCAATGTAAATATTTCACTTAAAAGAAAAAGTACATTGCAGCATGAATGACTGCTTGTTTGCCTCAAACACCAGTGGCAGAGCTCCAGACAGTGCAACGAAGATTATTGTTCTTGGAGCATCCTGAGTTGATAATTAAAGCAAGACGGTGTTTACAGAATAATGAGCAGGAAGAGAGCAAAAGCATCAGACTGTCAAAAAGAAAAGTTAAACAACCAAGACTAAGCACTGTGCCTGTCATATTTCAGCACTGGTGCTTGAGCTCAAGCCCTCAGAAAACGGGAAGGCCGACTGCGCAGGGCTTGGGTGCTCCTGCATGTAAGAAGTCCCTCCCTTGCCACCGCAGCATCAGGTGCATGCCGCATTACAGTAGCCAGAGGCCACCTAGGCCTTGCCTGACCACACGGGGTTGAACACAAGGACACACCTTGAGGGGGAAAGCGGACAGGAAGGGAAGCAGAGAGACTCTGCCTGGACCAATGGGGCAGAAGCTTGAAGGCAAAGAGAAAGAGAACAAGAAGGCAGGGCAATCAATTACTAAGCAAAGCTAAATATTTCTTGTAAAGCTCTCTATCATGTTGATCACATAGCAGCATGGTAGTTGGATATTTATGAAAACCTCAGTGGTATGCTTCCTACCTAGATAGCTGAGGATTTCAACTTATGATCACCACTGGATTATACAAAGTAAACATGACCATCCTTTACCTATGTTCAGCTATACAGCAATGAATCACACACTTAGGAAAAACCACAGATTAGGTGTGATAGCAGAGGGTGTGAACCTACCCTCGGGGAGGTTCTCATGACATGGAATGAGAAACCAGTCATAAGTGGTTTCTGCCTCCCTATTCCCAGCTGGAGGAAAGACAAAGATCCTGAATCAGATCTCCTGCATTTGAAAAAAAATGTTAATCCGCAACAAATCAGGTTCATGTCAATGCAAGAGGAGTGTGGGATGCTGATCCTTTCCTCCTGATTAAAACAGTCCCCACCCCCTATCCAAGCTGCTATTTTAGTGCAACAAAATAGCACCTGGATGGATCTGAAGGAACAGCAGAGCACAGGTGGAGTGGGGAGGATCAACCCCACTTCCCCAGCCCCAGTTCTTACTCATACCCCCATTCTTTACAAGATGGGTCTTAACATTTTTTAAAACGCTGCAAAAGATCTTGCTCACAGATCTCCCTTGTCACATCTAGTTTAGCAAGAGGTGCACGGACGTAGCAGTGAAGTTTCAATGACATCCTGAAGATGGCACAGAGAGAAAAATGAAATTTCTGCCTCCAGAGTCAGGACACCGTTCCTCTGTTTACCCAGCACTGGAGAACCAACAGTCTGATAGTGCCACAAGCCCCTGCCTGTGAACTTGCCAGGGCCATTTGCCGGCTACTGCTGGGAAACAGGATGCTGGACTCGAAGGGCATTTGGTCTCCTCTAACAAAGCAAATCGTATGTCCTTAAGAGGAGCCACCAGGATCAGGAGTCACTACTGCTACTTCATGTAAATAAGCCCAAGGATTTTTTGCCTTTCCAGTCATGGCCGTATCCACTCCTCTAAACCTGTAAGACACACGAGTCAAAGCTCCCTGCCAGTTGGGACCCCAACACATACATGCAGAACAAGCAATACAACTCGACGTGCAAAGATTTCATTGCTAAAGCTAAAATGTCCACCCAGAAGGCCAGGCCAAGACCAAGGCACTTGGGGCACTACAGAAGCCTTTGTCTGACAAATTCGTCACATGCTGTAGGCTTCACATCACTTACAATCAAATAAACGCAGCTCCTCAGGGCAGACCAAAGGAAGATATTTAGACCAAATGCCCTTTACATTTATCTTTCTACTCCCAAGATGAGAGCAAGTAGAGAAAGAGCACAAACAAACAGGCTTGGTGCTTGATACAGAGAAACAGCTTCGTCTTTTTCTTCTTGATGGAGAGAGAGCGATTTCTTTTGTTAGCAGATTTTCATCTCCACCATAAAACGTTGAAAAGTCCAGCCCTAGTTCACAGAAAGCAGAAAGGGTGTATCTGCAGTCTTATTTTTAGAGTCAATGTGAATGGCAGGCACCACCATACAGAGACAGGGCCCAATTCTGCAAAGCAAAGAGGTCTGATGGCCAAGTATTTTACCACAACCAGAGATATGAGTTTTAAGTCATCTTACCAACAGTCTACTCAGTGGTAAATGAAGATTTACCCTACATGCTATAGGAAGTCAAAGAAAGCTTAGTCCGGTCAACTTCCAGATGGATCTTCAAAAAACAAAACAACAAAACAAAACAAAACCCTTTTCAGCCATTGCACTACATAGAAAATGCTTTAAGAATCTGGTCTTTGTAAATTCCAATAACAATTGATCTGATCTATACTTCCAGACTAACATATAGGTTGGAGCTTAGCTTTGCATTAAACTTTGCACCTCTTGAACATTTTGAAATCGTTTTGGCTCCAAAAGTAGTAAAATACATTTTAAAATGCAATGCTTTGAATACCTTTTAAAATGTGTTGAAATGTATATCTAAGTGCATTTTAAATGTACCGATTAGCATGAAAATGTGGCAAAATGGATTAGTTGAATACATGCAATCCTAATGCAGACCAGGAATAGGAAATCCAGCCATTCCTAGCTCTTCAAGGTTACTTTTGTTACACTAGCAAGGACAATAGTGTACTACCGACTAAGAACAGTGCCAGCCACCCAGGCTAGTAGGTGCATGGAAGGATCAACTGTGCCTGTCTCTGAAATCCCAACTCAAAGGTTATGTCATAATTGTTCCCATTACAAATGAGCTGTTGTGACGGGGCGACTAGCCTAAGGTCACCCAGGAAGGCCGGAGCAGAGCTAATATTGCATTTCTAGGCTCCCTGGCTCCCTGCCTTAAACACAGTCTGCTACACCATATGCCATTCTGGTGGGTGGGGAGAGGGGCAAAGACGTTTCTCTTTGAGTCTGGCAACAGGAGTTAAGCCTGAACACCAGAAAGAGCCGATCTTACCAGAAAAGTACACTTGTGCATTCCCAAGCTAGAACAACTGGCACGCCAGTGCATTTTACCTTTTCGCCCCTAGAGGGAAGGATTTCAGGTCTTACATTTGTCATGCTTTGCTAAGTCAATTGAGAGGTCAGTGACTGCAAGGCTGCCTGTTCTGGGATTCATCCATATGTGACATCACATGGGCCAAGAAGTGTGTGTTATTCTTGCCCTTGGAAAAAATTATAGGTTTGAGCTTTCGGTTTGGCTTGCCACACTGGTGGTGTAGCAATCTATATTTAGATAGATACGTGAATATACTAGTCCAGAACATATAATTTTCCTGTGTTTCCTACTCCCAACAAATGACGGTTGGTTACTGAATGGCCACCACAAGAAAAAGGACAATTTTGGATTTTAGAAAAGCCTGCTGTGGTAACTAGGTACAGCTATAAAAGAATGAATAAACCCTTCTGTCACCAATTATAGCGGAGACGTTTAAAACTGAGTGAGGCATGTGCTAGCTGAGAGACATAATAAGCAGTGGACAAGGAGAAGAGTCCAGCCATGCCAAACTAATGTTAACAGTCCATCCTAGGTCCCCAACTGAACACGCACCGATGTTTTCAGGCAGGTCACTTTTCAGGCCAGCCACAAATCAGAGGGTGGTGAAGGCAACACTAGCAGAATGGAAATGGAACTCGTCTGTGAACGAAAGCACCTATCTGCCACAGCAACAACGAGTCCCACCACTAAGGAGATGCATGTGCTACACGGAAAATCCCACAGACTTTAGATCCAGAATAAATGATGCCAAGATGCAACGCTGGTTTCTGTGAATCTTTTTACTGAGAGATGTGGCTGTTTCAAATACATGGAAGAAAGGAAAAGATAGGGGAGGGAGAGAAAGGAGAGAGGGGACAGCAAGACCACAGAGTGGGGGGGGAAACAGACAGAGGTTCTGGAGAGGAAAGGGGGCTGCCTGAGGGAAAGGAATCCCATTTGGACTCCCGAGGTTTCTGGGTCTTCAAAGCGTGGCTCAAATCTCCCTTCTTTTCGCAGAGAGCAAGAGTCCCTTTAAAAGTTGTTTTTAAGGAATGAAAGCTGGGTGCCTGCAGCCAAATTCCTGAGTAGGCCGTGCTTCCTTCGTGCAATGCACAAACAGAATGTGCAGAGCCCCGCCCAGGGCCCTGGAGGGCAACTGGAACACTATAATCAACAACGTCAACTTGGCCCCAGCACCATTTCCTTTCACTTAAATATTCTCAGCTAAAATGGTTGCAATGCTTAATGAAGACCCTCACATAAATCCTTTTAGGCAAGCTTTGGTGGCTTATTGCAGTGTAGTTATATCTGCTTAAGTTCTTGTTACCTCTCAAGAACTGGGGCCAATACCATCCTTAGTAACAGGCATTAAAGCCAATGGAAAATTACACTGGGGACATATTTGCCTCCTACGAACAAGAAGCTTCTTAAGCACAATGGCTCCGAAGTGAAATATAACTCCCTCTCCCAGCTAGGTAACAAAAGGGTCACAACCCACTCAGATGCTGTACCTCAGTGGGCTGTAAAATATTTTGATTAAAATCAAGACAAGGGGACCAGATGGTATCTATCCCGTGCAGGCCATCCTGACCCTTTGCCCTTAACAAAACTCGTTTCACCCCACAATCTCGAAGCAGCTCGCATTGCTGGTACTTACGACTGACAGGCGAAAGACATGCCAAAGATAGGAATGCAGCGAAAAATGCCCTCCCAGCGTGCGTAACTGACCCGCTGCAGCCACTGCCCGCCAAAGAGGCCGTGTTTGAAAGCGGAGACCGTGATCTGCAGCCAAGGAAAAGAAAAGAGAGGTTACAATCTAGACAACAGAGACGCCAAACCAAACCAACGTCTGGCAAGCCAGGTTGCAACAACTTTACTGGTGCTGTGAAAACGATCAAGGGGCAGCGGTTCTGTTCAGAGGATGAACAGCAGGCGCGAAACTGTACAGGCGGTATTTCACTAGGTCATGTCTCCCAGGCCTTGTTTCCCTGACTAGTGCTCATGGGTTTTGCACGTATTAGAGCAATCTACATACAGATAGGGTGGTGAGAGAACAGCTGCTTACTCTCTTCTGACACTGAATCTGTTGTTCAGGGGATATTTTGTACGTGACTAAAATCCCTTCATTGGCACACCACCCTTTTTCACATCCAGTCCTTACCTTTAAAGCTCTTCATAGTCTTGCTCCACCCAATCCTTTGGACAAGTTTCCAGTTATATCTTCCCAAATCTTCAGGTACTCCAGCAACAACAACCTCAGCCTTCTGGACATCTCTTGCTCTCTGACATAACTTCGCCCATTCTCCCTTGTCTCCTCTTTTATGCATGGAGCGCCTTTCCCAGACACGTGACATTCCTTTCCCTCTTCCTTCAAAATCCATCTTTCCATGAGACCATTTGTTTAACCTTTTTCATCCTCATTTCCACCTCCAAATTTAAGCATGTGCAAAATGCATTCGGTCACATTAATCTCGTGCCACTCCAATTGCTCTCCCTCCTGATTCCATTGTCTCTTTTTTGTTTGATTGTAAATTTCTTGGGAGCTGTCTTTCATGTGTGGGTATGCTTATCAAACTCTATAAAGCTCTCTATATACTGTTGGAGCAGCACTATATATATTAGGAATGCACTGCAAGACCGGATGAATATTTATGCATGTTCTCATAACCACTAGCTTTGTCATAATCACTGGCACCAACTAGCCATTCCATTCTGCATCATAAACGTTCATCAAGAATCGGCACAACTTGCTGCTTCTGAACTGCTGCCTGAGAAGGTAACACTTCTGACTTCCAAATGGTGACACGTCAAAAGGCAAGGAGCCAGAGAGATGGGAGGGTGTGAGAAAGATCCAGAAACGCCACCAGAGGTGATGGGGTACAGAGACTGAGGCAGAAGACCCATTTCAGGGGAATATGCTAACTGGCCCTTGGCGTGAGGCCTATGAAACATATGACAACGAGTTGTGGAGGAAGTACTTGATTAAAAACACTGGGATAGAAAGTGAGGGAAGCGAAGGCTTCCTCTGACAACCTGTGTGGCCTAGGAGCCCCTAGGATAGGCTGTAAAATGTGCTGACTTGCTGGAAGCAGGGGACGTGGCGTGATTTCCCTGGAAGAATGTGCATTAAGTAGCATACGGGAGACACATTCCTGAGTCTTGGCCATATAGGAGAGCAGGCAGCTTCTCTATTACTGGTAGTGGTCATCCTCTACCAGGCAATGCCAATAATGTTAAATAGAAAAAGTCTTCCAAACTAAACCCTGAACCTATGAGTCACTGCCAATCGGGAGACCTGGCATCCTACATGGCCTCTGAAAGCCCACCCATGAGGGAAGCTTGGACACTGTGGAACTTAATTTGCACTGCGGTTTTCCTTAGATGAATTAACCACCAACCACTGAAGAAAACAAAAGCCTTCCAGTCATTAATACTGACCACAAACATAAACACTGTGTAAAAGATCAGAGCGATGGCACTGAAGGACTGTATGGAAGCCATCATGTTCCTCTGGAGACTCAGTGGAAGTATGCAGAGGGAGACAATAAAGAGCAGGACTACCCGGAACCAGCCGCTCACCTGAAAATGGAACATGGGGAACAGTTATCAAGAGTATACCTAGAGGATCCCTTATGGGATGGAAGCCCAGTGAGCCTGATGATGAAAAACTAGACCTGCAAGACACAACCCTGCTCACTGCTGCAAACAGCACTTGGATTAAGATTCACTCTGAAAGCAAATTAAAGGAAAGGCTTTGGAGCGTCAGGAAAGCTGCATCCAACAGACCATTCTGTGATTAGCCCACATAGTCACTGGGTGCCACTGTTGCTCTACGGAGATCTTACCAAGCCTATTCTAAAGCCAACGCTTGTTGGCTGTTTTAAATGGTAATCCGAAAGCAACCTATTTGAATATCTTTTATGTACTTCCAGCAAATAAAATGAAAACTAACCTTGCTGCAGAAAAGAAAATGAAGGAAGAGATAGATGGAAGTCTTGGAAATTCTGACCCAGAAAATTAACCAGCAGCTCTCTTTGGGGTGGGAGTGGGAGTATTTATTATACCAGAAAGCTTGGAAATGCCTAGAAATATTTAATACCTAATTTGGCTTTGCTTATGATGCATCTTTTTAACTTCTCAGCTCCTTAATCAGAGCTTAACTGCATCAGGCCGGAGCAGATAAAAACCATGCCAAAACTCTGCTGAATGTCCATTTAGCTTTCCTGGCCAGTTTCTGCCCCATGAATTGTTCTATGTTCCCTATTTATCTGGTGGGAATTAAACTATTCCTGCACTGGAAAAGGCAAACAGCAGATATGCTATCAGCACTGCATTTTCTTGACCTGGTCTGCTGGGTTATTCGTGATTTAGCTGTGTATCCTATTTGGAGGTCTGAGATTAACAAATGGCCCGACACATTCTGAGGCTTACACTACAATGTTAAAGCCCTGTTCAGTTCAGCAAAGCACTAAATTCCCAGTTCTACCAGAGGCTGCCCCTTGAGTCCTGGATGACACAAACTTTAGCACCTCTAGCTTTCAGTTCTCTGTTTACTACTAGCATGATAGGGCCTGCTCTGCCTTACTTTGCCTCACATCCCTATCACGTTAAATGATGAACACTGTTAGAAGTGCTCCTATAATCGGAATGGGTGGCCATGCATATGTGAAAGTGCAGCTGCTATACAAACAGAATGCAAAAAGAATCCCACTGTTAAGGGAAACAGACAGCAATGTAGGCAGACATCAGGCTTGTAGGCTCTATTTTGTTTTTTAACAGAACCCTGGGATCCGTCAACCGGAAGCCTGATGCAGAAGACACATGCTTGGACTTACAGAACTTTTTTGGGAGTACCAAAACCTCATTTTGCAAAAATTTAGAAATCATCCCAGGAATTCTAAATTTCAGCAGTATAATGTGGGGCAGAGGGGAGATGTGTTGTTGTTGCTATTGTTAAATAGCAGAGAACCTCTTTTAATCTTCAGACCACCCAGAGATCTACCAGTAGATCTAGATGTGTCTTCTTTCCACATCAACGTACAGCAACTTTTCAGAAGATCAGTCCACTTGGGACTGACCCTTGACCATCAATTTCACAGACATATGCATCCTGACTTTATTTGCCTTGGATCAGTCTCCTGTGGGGAAAAGTGCTTTGTGGCTTCAATGCTTGCTCCTAATTTTGAGAGATGCAGAATGCCTTGGCAGTATTGCAACAATAATGTTTGGTAAAATATGCTTCCAAAAGCAAAACATGCCTTCTAAAAAGGAAAGGGGAAATGTACTGAATTGCTGTTGGTAAGAGTTAATGAAAAGCAAGCTTACCTGGAGCCCAAACAACCGGGCAAAGAAGTTTGATCCCAAGTCTCCAATTACAACATAGAAAGCAATGCAGGTTCCTAGCATCAGTCCAATCATACTGTAAAAGTGCACAAACAGACAGGTCACTCCAGAGCAGAGCGTTCTCTTGGAATGCAGCCCCTATTACTTGCCAGGTGTGTGTTAAGTGCTACATTCAGATGGGATCAGCACTCTGGAATACTTTGAACATAGTCAGTTTCCACTGCTGGTGTCCTGAACACCTTCTCTGTGAATTTCCCACCATCTTGCTAACAGAATATTTCAGGAGATGCATTGATTATGGAAAACAGCCCTGCAGCTTGGACTCCTTAATACAGGCATTCAGCAAACACAGTGGAGAAAAATATGGCTGAAGCCATCTTCTCATCTAGGCTAAAACATCCTCTTTGGCAGCGATCAGGGACAAAGCCTAAGGGAAACAGTTTGGAGAAAGCAAGGCCTGTGAAGTGAAGTGAGCAACCATTTTGAGGTGGGGGAGCTGCAGGAGAACCACATTTACTGTTTGTCAGACAGCAGCAGACATTGCACCATGTCCTGGTGTGTATCAAAGGTATTTCCAATAGTCTATTTAATAAAAATAGATTCACCTCCATATCTTTTATGAGTTTAATGTTGACTATTAACCTACAAAACCCTCACAGTTGACACATGGTCACACAGGTTACCTGTAGCAGTTACTGGACACAACACATGGTCCACTGCCGTATCTTCTCCAACCCTCTCCTTTCATAAGCTTAAACAGGAATGCTTTCTAATTTCTCTCTCATTTTGATTACTAGACAGTCATCTGAGGGGGACTTAGGCTCCTGCACTGGCAGGGACCTTTCTTGGCCCCTTCCAAATCTACTCTTCTCTGATCTAGTACAGGTGAAGCCTTGATGATTAATTCCATTTCACTTCTCTGTCCATACTGAAATGTGTTGCCACATCAAGAGAAGAATGGAGAATTTAAGAGAAACCTTTAAAAAAATGGCCTCTCTCTTTGATAATCATCTTCCCATTTATATGAGTCATATTCTAGAAATGGTAACATTTGTTTCCCCACTGCTTTCTGAGTAAGTGTTCTAAAATGACTTTGGAAATTGTGTGTGCGTGCGTGTGTGTGCATGTGTGTGGTACAACTGCTTTCATGCCATCAAACTGTTTTATGAAATAGTTTCAGACAGTCTATGAGTATGATACTAACGAAAGGGCCATAGTATATATGTGCAGCATTAGCTTTATGAGACAATAAAAAGGACAACCTAGTAACCATGCAGCAAGGAGAGGTTAACGCCTTCCAGTGCATGCATAATAATTTAACTGCTTTACTAGAGCCACAAAGGGGAACTCTTTTTAGGGAGCATGGTTGAAAGGAGCCATTTTCACTCATACACTTTGAAGAAAGTGTGTGAGAGAGATTTAAGCTCATTATTAATATTATCTACTGCCTTATCTGCTAAAAATAATCCATCACATACAATCAAAGAAGGGAGAAGCAAGCGATATTAAACTAAAAGCCTGCACTTGTTCAATGGAGAGTGGGGTGGGCCTCGGCCCTCCAGGAAGGTGGGCAACATCTTAGTGAGTGCTGACGCTAGGAAGTCCTGCCATTGTACCACTCCTTTTCACAAAGACACAATGTCCCCCCCACTCCCATTTCCCATCATATAACATCCCCTCAGCAATTATTACAATTGCTTACATGGAAAAGTAATGGCAGTGAAGCACTGAAAATATTTTTAGCCATCTCTCAAAGCAGTTTAGCAGCTGGGAATACGGAGGAAAGCCAGGCTCACACAACTGGCCAGCTTGTTATGGATCACAGTTTAAGCACCTTATTCATAAAAAGCAACCCTGTGATGCAACAAATGTTCATATTGCAGCCTGAGTTAGCTGCAGTGCCCTTCTTATTGTGGTAGGGACACAAGTCCAAGAGAGCAGAAGCCAGAGGAAAGGCCTTGCTAGGCTTCTCTTCTCTAGTTGAAGCTCTGAGCAAACCAAAGTAAGATCTACTAAGTGACATTTCTCTTTATAGAAATAAACTTATCATTAGAAAAAGCAAAGGTCTTCAAATGTTGATGGGAGCATTGTGGCATTATTATTGTCAGCAAATTTACTAATGTAGTCCAGTGACATCCTTGATCTACTGAGAGGAAAACAATCACAGACAGGATAAAAAGCAGCTACTGAATTATGCACAACTCTTTGCACAGAGAGAAATGGGAGCACCAAATACTTCTCCCTTGTGTGAAAACCTAGGTCAGATCTGATGCATAATGGTGCAGAGAGGAGACGGCATGAACCCAGTCCACCCAAATGGAATTCCTTCCTCACCAGGATGAAAATGATGGGAGTGCACCATCGAGCTGTTTTGAGCAGCTATCTTTGCTGGGAGAAGTTGACAGTGAAAAAAATATTATGAACACTTCTAATTGTGTAGAGTCTGGCCATGACAATGGGAAGGAACAGATGAACACATGTGATTGCTGAAAAGGCCAATTCCATCTACAGAAAACCAAGAACCTTTGCATTTATGCCACAGACAAATCATTCTCTGGTTTAGATGTCTGCTGTCCACTGGAATCATTGCAGTGTTTTATTCAAACATGGCACAATTCTGCTATTCTACCTAAATAATTACTGCAGCTAAACAGACCTTACAACCAATTGAGCACATATGTTGGAAAGTCCAACACACTGGGAAGAGTTTTAAAATGGGGGAAGTGGAGTTGCTGTTATGAACATGCATCACACAGAGAACAGTGACATCATGTTCAGTCTGCATGTTGGATCAGAACAGGTAATACTGTTAAGTTCCCTACAACAGATATTAGGAGAAACAGTGCATAAATGATAGACATAACATCAAATTGGAAGGGGTCAGATCTTGAGGAGGAAATTTAAAAAAATTACCTGGTTTCCACCAACATTTTTCCAGTTTTTCCATAGGCATGGAAGGCTAAGGGAAAAAAAGTGGGGAAGAAGGAAAGAAAACACATACATCACCACAGTTATTCAAACATATGTTCAAAATGTGGCATTTTAAAAAATTAACAACATCTAGCAGAGGCGATTCAGAAGGCAGGGCTTTGTGAGCTTTTTAGCTCAGGATCAGTTTTCTTCCGCACGCACACACACACCACTCTTGGACCTTTACTTCTTCTTGACATTCCATTCACAAATCAGAAGCCACATAAAAACAAATTTGAGAGAAAGATTCAAAGCAGGTTCTTCTCCCCCTTCCCCTTGCCATGCCCCCCCCTCCCCACAGCCTAAGAGCGCTAAGTAGAAGTTACACATGGTAACCATTAAAAGAAGAAAGTCGGCACTGAAAAGAAAATATGCGAACATAAGAGACTGTGTGGCAAAAAGTTACTGCAGTGCAAAATTTCAATCAGGTTCCCATTTTTATTCCTTCCTTCTCTATTATGACTGAACCACTTTGTGTTGCTGATGGGAGGATTGAGACGATGCCCAGAATGTTCAGCCACCCTGAGAATATCCATGATTCACAACCCACACCAAAGGGATTTGACCAAGAGATTTCTTTTTCATTTTATACACTGGTCACCGCTTGCAGCACAAAGCAATCAGCATCCTTGAAATCACTGCTACTCTGGAAAGCTCAGCTTGTATTTTCAAAAGGCATTTTACTACGGGGATAAGAGGAAAATTACCACCTCCAGTTCTGAGAGAGAACCTTTTTTAACTGGGCCTGTTACTAATGCCACATTCATGCGAAATGTTTACAAAAGGCAACTGGCTTTCAACCCTCAGTTTGCACAATGTCCATATTCTCTTGGCGAAATCTTGTGTTTGAAAAAGGATCAGTCACCCCAGTGCAGGAATGCAACAAAAGAAGTGAAGGGAACAGAAGAAACACTTCCGTCTCTAAAGTAATGGCCATGGATGATGATTCCTTAGAAACAGATAAAGAGCAGAAACAAAACAATCACCAATTTTCAATTAAAACAAATCTATTTTTAAAAAGCACTACTCGGGATATAACAGTTCGGGCAGACATTAAGGAATAATGCTGCCCTTGATGGTCCAGGATCCTTCAAGACAGAGGGAGAGGGAAAGTGAACATTCACTCAAATTCCTTTTGAAAGCAAGCCCAGCTTAAGTTGGCTGCCTGGATCTGACAGGAGGAGACAGTCACCAAAGTGTTGTCCTTTTTAACTTGAGCTGCTATCTGCATTTCCACAGCTTAAAATCTCTGGGCAGGTCTGAGGAATGGATTTCTGAACACCTGTTTTCCATAGTAGTTTTTACCTCCTTATTATCCATCTTTGCTTTAGAAGAGTATTGTATGAGCACATGCATTTTTGGGTTTGGAGCAGAGCTAGTTCTCCAGCAGCAAGGCAAACTAGGCATGGGGGAATCTGGCATGAATGGCAAGAACTAGCCCAGCAGGTGGAAGCAAGCAAGCCTTAAGAGGCCCATTACTAACCAGACCAGGAGAGGATAGGGCAGGGTGAGCACTATGAAATCTCATACTGAAAAGAAAATTATTTCTATTTATTAGATATATATCCTGTCCTTTTCTTACAAACAACTCAGTGTGACTTCTATCATTCTCCTCCTGCTGCTTTCAGTCTTATCTCTAAAATGACAACCCTGTGAGGTAGGTTGGGCTGAGAGTCTGTAACTGGCCCAAAGTCACCCAGTTGGCTCCATGATTAGGTGGGGACTAAAACCCAGATCGCCTGAGCCCCAGTCCCATGCTCTAGAATTTGCTTCTGGGGGTGAATATTTTTGTGGCCTTAAAAGAAGCCCTAGGTGTAGCACCCGAATAGGACCAAGACTCTGCAGGATACGGGCACTCCATTCATTTGGAAGAATGGAAGGCAAGAGAATCTGGAAAAGAAAATGTCCCCATCAGTCCTTCAAAAAAGGGGCAACAACAGTAGATGAGCTTCAAAGAACAGTTTTTACAGAAGCTTGGGAAATACTTCATCCAAATTTCAGCTGAACCATTAATTCTGTAGGTGATTTTGAGCAAGTCATACTTACTAAGTGGTGGTTCATACATTGCCACAGGTGGCCAATTTATGGAAATAAGTGCTTGCATGAGTGGTCAGCTTAATATCATGCGGGGTCCTTTCAGAAGGCCACAGTATCTACTTGCATGAAAGGAGTGCACTGGAACAGAAATCTGTATTCTTGGAAATGGCACTGTGATCTTCTGTAAGTACCTCCTCTGGCATTATGATGTTTGTGCAAAACTCTAGTCAGAGCGGTTATTTCTACGTATGAGCCAGCTCTCTCAGTTTCCCACTAATACAGGAGAATAAAGGAGTTCTTTTGCAACAGGGAAAGAGCTGTTACCTGACCTAATCCTTAGCAATAAAGCAGGCTGTAAATACAACTTAGTAAATGAAGCTCATTCATCTGTTCACATCTAAGAACATCAACATTTCAGATTTTAATTTGGCATCTCATCAGTCTCAGAAGACAATGGACTGTATAACAGAAGAGAAAGAACACTGAATGTGGAGCAACAATCCCTCAGAAAAAAACTTGACTGGCGATGGGGGTGAGTGGGAGGGGTGGAAAATAATTTTAGGCAAAAGTGGCCCACTTGCGTAAACTTAAGTATTTTGTCAGATGCTGAACTTTGTGTCTATACAGAAGGAAAAATGACTGAAAAGAAGTATCTCTTGGGTGGTTCCTACTTAATGTTTACTACAATTAAGATATAAGTCTGGGAGTAAAACAACATCTAACGGAAAATAAAATTATCCTTTTAGATTCTAAATTATTGTTATGAACCATTCACACAGCCCTTTTGTACACAAAAAGCTAACCATTCTCACCTTCCAAATGAGGAACAAAGACTGAGTGTGAGACTTGCCCATGGCCATTTAAGAAGCCCATTGCCAAGTTGCAATTTGGACTTTGGTCCTCTAGTTCCATAGCCAGTGTTACAGCCACTAAATCAAACCAGATTTCTAATGTGAAGTTGTTGTTTTGTTGTTGTTGTTTTAACGTTTGATACTGAATTGTTTCAACACTTATACTAGCTCCTGATATGACTGCAGCATATGTTCATATCTAGCAGGGTATTCTAAAATTAGGCAATGAGTAGATATCTCAGACATCTTATGCCAAACAGATTGTGTAAAGGATACCAGATAAATTAAAACCTGGTAAAAGGAAAGGGAATAGCTTATGTATTCAAAAGTATTCAAGTAACTTCACACACTTGGTGTGGTCAAATTCTAAATTGCAATGCTCTACTTCCCACCATGCCAGTGAATATATTAGTTAACTATGAACACTACAATTTTTACAAGTATCTAATGAAGAAATTAATCTGTGCCTGGGCAGTACCACTTTGGACTACAGATGAGACTTAACATGAGGAACATCCCTCCATCTGAAAAGTTTCTGTAACACAAAAACCTAACATGTCAGGGGAAAATGTTTTTTTGTCTGGTTAAGCCCTCCTTGAGAAGTCAGTTTTATATTTGCAGAAATGTTGCTTTATTTATTTGCTTGTTTAAAGGAGGAAAATTCATAAACAGGCTTACCTCCCCTTCTGATGTTTATGAAAATTAGTCCTGGTCAGTTGCCTTTCACATTTTTAAAGACATGGATGTATTTTCAGAGGTCTTGTGTGCGCACGAATGTGTGCATAAATGAAACCAGAGCATGACCATTCATAGTACTCTCCCAGAGAACTTGTGCACCTTAGAACACCTTGCTACACCTTGGCGATTGCTAGATCAATGGCTTCCAGCCAAGATCCTGACCAGTGCTTTAGCAAGGTGAGTCTGGTGGAATGGCAATACTAAAGAGCTCAGCTAGCATCCCCTACAGGAGTACAGAGCAGCAGTCACTACTGTCTTGGTCAAATTACATCTTGTCTCTCTGCAGCAGATGTTTCCAAACATCCAGCTTCTTAATGAAGGTTTTGGTGGCCCACCAATTAATGCAAAACAGCAGTGGTAAAATATTTTAAACTATAATCTCATGTATTTAAATATCTATCCCAACCTATTTCAAAGGCATCAGGCAAGTAACACCATGCTTTCAGATTTCTTTATTGTTCTTCCATAATATGGGGGGAAACAGGATACCAAATACCACCATCAAACAAAGTAAGAGATGCTTTCTGTATTTCACAAAATTCAAGTGCGGAAATGTACACATGTATGAACAAAGAAAATGTCTTCATTACTCCAAAGCAGATAATACCGTGTTTTAATCAGACAGAAATATATTGCAAATCCAGCCTCCAAATGCCCTGATCCTAAATGCCCTGTTGGCTTTTTAGCAATCATTATGCTTTAGCTTTGCTGAACTTAGGAAAGGGAGTTGTGCAACCATGGAACAGGCAGAGAATTCACTAAGCAGCCCTGTTGTTGTACTTGGCAAATACATCACACTGTTAAGCAAGCACTCTCTCCATCTTCAAAATTCTGATGGCAAACAGGAGGAGATGATCTAGGGAGGCACTCATGCTGTATATGTTCCCTCACATGACTTCATATTAACTAAGGCAGGCGGTGTTATTGGTAGGTATGGAAGAAGCATTCAAGGATACATGCTTCGTACTGCTCACACTTATATACAGGAGAAGTGGGAGCTACAAAGCGATAAAGTGAGGTAGGGGTTAAGTCCTTCCCTTGGAACTGCCTCTATATCTGTCTCTGGAAAATGTGCAGGCAATTCTAAGTTAAAGGGTTAACTGCTTTGCTTTAAAACCATCCTATCAAAGCCCAAGAAGTTACAGCCATAAATAGTGTGCATAATTTAAAAACAATAAAAATGCTCTTGCTTAGTTACTCAGAGACAAACGCTATTGATTTGCTGGACTCAACACACATCAAGTGTTCCTCCTCCCACCATTCCCCCTTCCAAATAACATTGAGAGGTGTTTATTCCTATTGTTTCTCTGCCACTTTGGCTCTTGTAGCAAAAGCTTTGAATGTTCTTCCGGAAGACGTTGCTTAGATTAAGTTAATTTGTAAAACTTTCCTGCGTCCTTCAAAGCTGCCAAAGCCTCCCACAGAATCAGCTTGGGTCCTGCCAGGATCTCTTGCAGCTGGACCCATGTAGAAGAAAGCAAGCGACAAAGGCTGCTGTGTGTAGCTGCTCAACCTTGATGCACTGGGGTGTCTGTAGCAGCACAGCCTGTGCTGGGGCCGAGGATGCCTTTTCCCAGGCACTCTCCTTACTCTGACTGGTGGCATCTCTCCCAGGGCAAAGGCGGGCAGAAAGGGAAGCCATTTCTTTCCGCACCAATGTTTGTGTGCCAGAAAGTTTGGAAGCATTTACTGGCCCTTCTGTGTCTCTAAGCTGCTTAGTTTTAGAAAGTGAAGGAGACCTCTTCTTCCTGGGAGATGCTCCAAGGTGAACAGGGCTCAATGTATTCAGGCAAAGGAGGAGGAATGCACAAAGACTTATTGTAACACAGAAGGGGAAATCAAGGACTATGGGCATCTGGTGCTGGAGAGAAAGAGCTACATTTGACTCCCCCTGTTCTTCTCTTGCCCTCCCCCATAAGAAAAGAGCTATAATAAAGTCTATCTTTTGTAGCAAAGGTTTAACCTTCAGGACCACTGGAGTTTTCTAATTTTTTGTTGTTGCCAATAGACATATTTTGCAGTGGTTGTGCAGTGCAGCTAAATGAGGGAGCCTCGGGCAACAGAGGAACTAAGGGTATCCATCTGTCAGCAGTCACTAAGGAGACTGCACATTTCTTTAAATCCTTTGCAGGCCATGGGACCAGCCAATTCCCCACTCTGACTCCCCAAGAGCCAACTCAGGAAACACAAGGTGGGGCTACACTTGCAGGAGGGCAGAAAACAGCATGTCCTGCCATGAGAATCTTTCACCTCTGCCACCCCAAGGGAAAAATCCCACCTCTGCAACAAGCAAATATTAAACGGATACGCAGGAGTGTTTGCTTCTGAAACAGCAGCTTAAAAGAAAGCCCAAGAGGGGCTCTTCCATCCAGCTTGTGGCTTGTTTTCCAGCAAGGACATGCATATCAATCTGAAAGGCTCAAATCCTCAGCCCTATCCGTGCAATCTTCTCCCCCACCCAAATCCCTGGGAATCAGGGGAGAGGTCAAAAATAGATGGCAATCCTGGCGCCAAGGCACAGCAGACAAACTATGAGGAAGAGGGCTGCTGGGCCTTGCCAAAAACCCACACATGAATCTCGCAGATGTTTCGATTTTCTTGGCCACTGGAACCCTCGTGCGCTGCTTCCCCTGACCTCCCTGTTGTGCTGCCACAGGCACACAATCCAAGGAGCCCAGAGCCCATGCCAGGCTCTCTACTGGCAGAACCCAATGTCCTCGGCAGCATGCTGGGCGGGGAAAGTGAGTGGCTTTTGAGCAGACACCAACCATTGAGAGCAGCCACCCATCATGGCCGCTTTCTCCCCAAGGGCTTCTGTTTGGACCACTCACTCCTTCCTGGCCTACATGGGCTCTGTGCCATCTTCAAAGAGTTAAATCTTTGTGCTCAGTGGTGCAGTTACACAGAGGAGGAGAAAAGGAAAAATATCCCCAGAATACAGTGAATAATTCAGCTACACCAGTATGAGAGTTGTAAATTAGAAAACTGGAATAAAAGCAAGGCATAAAACCATCTTCCCCCCATTTGACCACGCTCACCTAGCCCAGGATAGGTCCTGCGTTTGCTGAGATTGGCTGATTTCACTAGGAACATGCAGGATTGATGAGTCATCCAGGAGCAGAAAACAAGCAGCAGGGCTCCCAGAAAGATGCCACACTAGAAAGGAGGGAGGGAGAAAAATATAAGTGCTGGATGAATAATAAGCACCCCCCTCCCTGGTACTGCTCTTATTTCATGCATTCTTATTGCTGCCCCACGTCACCTAGAGGCTGCCTGGGACATTTGCAGCCGCACACTAGCCTGTTAAGGGAGCTCCCCTGCCTCTGAACAGCAGTCAGCCAAACTGTGACGTACGAGTTCAATTTTATTCTCACACACAGTTTATGGCAGAGAGACATAGAGCAGCCACCTGTTTACTGAAGGGCTTGGTTGCTGTACCTGCCTGCCTGCCTGGAAAAGGAAGCCAGAGCAATTTATGGAAGCAAACAAGCCTTCCTGCCCTGCTGTTGTGACATTTTCTGGGCATATTCCAGAACAGTGATCTGTCTCCAGCTCCTACCAGAGTCATGTTAAACAAGTTAGCATGCTGTTGATCCAGGGGTTTGAACTCCTCGGCAGAAGTGTTACTGGCTGTTCCATCCACTTACAACACAAACATAAATTACCCTGTTAGCTACCTGTCCCGAAAGCATTGTGCTGGCTCACTCTCTGGATGCATTTGTGGAGGAAGCGGAAGGAGTTTGGGGGAAGGAGGGGGAGAGGACATGAATGGCTGAGCATTTATGAAAACAATGCGTGACTCTGGGCAGGAACAAGTGGTGCTAAATTTTAATCACAGCTGCAATTTGTTCTGTTTTAGTCAAAAGAGTTGTAGCTCCGAAGTTTCTGGCAACTGTGTGCATAACAAACTCACAACCTGCTCTGAGGAGTCTTAAAACCCAAATAGCTGTAAAAGATTCTTTCCTCCAGGGAAGACTTATTGACATCAGTTCACAGCTGTGGGACTGGAACAACCAACAAAATCTACAAAGCCCATCAGAGGTCTCTCCCCCACCCCCCAAAAAGGCCACAGGACAATTTCACACAAAATGAGTAAAGGTGAAGCCATTTCCAGACCTTGATGCAAACAGGGGAAACGGGACACACATGCCCTTTGCTCATGCTGCTTGCTGTTACAAAGGCTACCTATGACCTTGCCGGACAGACGTTTGAAAAGATACCACCGTGATCTTCCATCAAGTCATTCGTGCAACCAAGTACCACAGCATCTATTAGCAGCATCTGTTAACAAGCGCTGCTGTGCATTGGGAGAGAATCAGCAACCAGATGTTCACGTGCATAACCACATATCATTGGTAGTAAGCATTTTTACAACCACAAAGGCTTAATTACTACCAGCAGTCCACCTCCTGTTATGTCCAGTACTGAAAAATCAACTATGCCTCAGAGTGTCCCATGACCAACACATGCTCTTTGTTTTTTTTACCAGTGGGGGCACTTGTCTACGTCACTCAAGAAAGGCAAGTGTCATCAAGTGTTGTTTGCCACAACAATATCAGAAGTAGGAACTGCCATGCACAAACACAATTTTGGAATAAAGGGCATGTGCTTCCAGAGAAGACCATGGCACACACAACTTAGTATTACACAGCTTAGTACTACCTGACGCTCACTCAGCACTCATCCTCTTTCTCTCACACAGAGATGCTCTCACACACTGTCTCTTCACCAGCTCCATTCCTGATGACTTGCAAGATGGGCACAGCACTGTATGCAATTATACAGTTATTTGCTATGGCACTATTGTCAATTTAAGATTCCTAATTGATCACTTCTGCATCTCTCCTCTTTCTTGGCAGAATGACAGCCAGGGTGGCCTAGTGGTTAGTGTTGGACAGGAGATCTGGCTACTAGACCCCACTCAGCCATGAAGCTCACTGGGAGACTCTGAGCCAATCACAGACTCTCAAACCCAGCCTCCCTCATAGAGTTGTTGTTGTTGTTGTTAGGATAAAACAGAGCCAAGGAAGCCACACAGGGTTCCTCACAAGAGGAAAAAAGTGCAGTATAAATGCAATGTAATATTTTCTCCATGATCTCTTGCTTTTTAACTTTAATTCAAAGGATCTGTAGGTAAATATGGAAGATGGGATATAAATGACTTGTAAGTGTAGACCTAGAAGAGATAAGAATGCCTTCTTAAATGAACAGTGCAAAGAAATAGAAGAAAACAATAGAAAAGGGAGGACCAGAGATCTCTTCAAGAAAATTGGAGATATGAAGGGAACATTTCATGCAAAGATGGGCATGATAAAGGACCAAAATGGCAGGGACCTAACAGAGGCAGATTTGATTAAGAAGAGGTGGCAAGATTACACAGAAGAACTACACAAGAGAGAGCTTAACGTCCCTGATAACCATGATGGGGTGGTCACTGACCTCGAGCCAGACATCCTGGAATGTGAAGTCAAATGGGTCTTAGGAAGTCTGAGCAACAACAAAGCTAGTGGAGGTGACAGTATTCCAGCTGAGCTATTCAAAGTCACAAAAGACAATGCAGTTAAAGTGCTACACCCAATATGCCAGCAAATTTGGAAAACTCAACAGTGGCCACAGGATTGGAAAAGGTCAGTTTACATTCCGATCCCAAAGAAGGCCAATGTCAAAGAATGTTCCAACTACCACACCATTGCACTCATTTCACTTGCTAGCTAAGTTATGCTCAAAATCCTACAAGCTAGGCTCCAGCAGTATGTGGACCGAGAACTACCAGCAGTACAGGCAAGATTTCGAAGAAGGAGAGGAACTAGAGATCAAATTGCCAACATATGCTGGATCATGGAGAAAGCTAGGGAGTTCCAGAAAAACATCTACTTCTGTTTCATTGACCATGCTAAAGCCTTTGATTGTGTGGATCACAACAAATTGTGGCAAGTTCTTAAAGAGATGGGAGTACCAGACCATCTTATTTGTCTCTTGAGAAACCTGTATGTGGGTCAAGAAGCAACAGTGAGAACTGGACACGGAACCACTGACTGGTTCAAAATTGAGAAAGGAGTTCAGCAAGGCTTTATACTGTCACCCTGTCTATTTAACTTATATGCAGAGCACATCATGAGAAAGGCGGGGCTAGATGAATCACCAGTTGGAATTAAGATTGCCGGGAGAAATATCAACAACCTCAGATATTTAGATGATACCACTCTAATGGCAGAAGGTGAAGAGGAACTAAAGAGCCTCTTGGTGTGGGTGAAGGAGGAGAGTTCAAAAGTTGGCTTGAAACTCAACATTAAGAAAACTAAGATCACGGCATCCAGTCCTCTCACTTCCTGGCAAATAGATGGGGAAGAAATGGAGGTAGTGACAGATTTTATTTTCCTGGGCTCCAAGATCACCGCAGATGGGGACTGCAGCCAAGAAATTAAAAGACACTTGCTCCTGGGGAGGAAAGCTATGGCAAATCTAGACAGCACACTAA